TATTATTATATTCTATATCATAATCATGTAATATATTATATAAAAATAATTATATTATATTATATTAAATTTTATATATTATATTAATTATATTGATATATAAAATATTAATGTTATATATAATATAAGAGTAATTTTGTTAATATGAAAATATTCATGTTAGTATTCCTCAAATTACAACCAAACAAATGAATCAATTTTATTTTTCATTCCATTATCATTCTCATTCTCATTACTATTATCATTCCCCTACTGCAACTAAACGCACCCGTAGAGTTTTTATGTTAAAATGACATGTCATTTTCTTTTGGATTTATCGTTGTCTTGAATGACAAGTGACACGTCTTTACAATGAAAAACTAAAATATCACTTGTCATTTACTATTGGTTTTCAAAATGAACGATATGTTATTGCGATGCTTTCAAGACGACGACCGACGAAGAAAAGCAATATTGAACTATATATTCGTTAATTCATTTAGAATAGAACTTTTTTTTTTCTTTACTATTTTTTAGAAGAGTAATGCTAGGAACACCAACTCAAAGTCTAATTTTTGTGTACCAACTGATTTAGTACGTGAGTTATTATTTTTTATTAGTAGATGTAATTTCTTTCATTAATTGACATGGTAATGTTTTAAACACCCACTAATGAAAAAATAAAAACTCACGTGTCACATCAGTTGATATACAAAAGTTAGAATTTGAGTTGGTGTCCATGGCATTATTCTTTTTAGAATATTTAATGTTATAGGAAAAATATAGGTTTACCACTTAAGATAGTAAAAAATATTATTTATGTCACTTCAATTAAAATAAATATTGCCATCCAATTAGTAAAAAGAAAAATAAAGACCACAATAACACCCAATTATTTAGAATGTTATAAATAATATGTTTGCTTAAAACCATAAGAAAACATGTACTTTACTCATAATATTATTGTAGTAAATAGTACATTTTTAAAACTAAATTAAGTAAATAATAAATTTTAAAACTATTTGAAATAAATAATAATTTATATAATAAATTAGACATACTAATATATCATGATTAATATAATTAAATTATTTTAATTCTTCTAATCGTTACAGTCAATGCATTGCTCATTGCTTAATTTTTTTTAACTATAATGATTAAAATGTCCTCAAAAGGATTTTCAAAAAAAAAAAAAAAAAGTCCTCAAAAGAATGATGTTTTCCATATTAACAGACCGTTGGCTGAGAGAATTTCCACGTTAGCTTGATTAAGAGCTTTGTTGCGCCACTAAAGTTATCTTTAAATAAAGTTGAGAACACAGAAAAAAAAAAACTTGAGATTTTTTTTCTTATTTGTTATTTTCATTATTTTAAGAACTGCCTGTTTAGTTGATGATTCGAATTTTTAATTTAAATTGAGATATTATTTTATATAAAATTTTTTTATTATAATAAAAAAATTAAATATAATTATTTTTAAATTTTTTTATTATAATAAAATTTAAATCAGTAAAATTAATAAAGTCTTTTAAGGCATAATTCGCGAACTCTTAACGGCCACAAATTTTTTTTTTTTTTTAAAATGGGAAATACTATTCTATTTGGAAGTAAAATAAAAAAAAATACAATAAAGGAAAATACGACAAAGCAGATAGTAGCACTGTAATCTATCTTCTTATCTTTAGGACAGCATCGTCGCGAACCAGTAGATTTCAATGTCAAACGTCTCTTGAAGTTGAACAAACCCAAATACGACTCAACACCCATTACTCCACTCAAAACACTCTAGAAAAATGACGTCTTTACTCGGAACTTCTTCCACGGCAATCTTGGCTTCTCGCTCCTCCAAGACTTCCATTCCTTCTCTCTCCTTCAACCCAGGTACATTTTCTCAAATTTTCTTCCTGTTTCTCATAGACCCAGCTCAGTTTTCATTATTCTTTGGAGATTTTTTTTTCTTTTTTTCAAATAAATGAGTTTTCTAACTAAGATGGGACATGGGTTTTGGCAGTTTCAGGGGATTATTCATTTATATGCCGACAATTTTGTTACTTTTGCAGGTACGGGTTATTTAAAAAGGCTCTATGGAGGTGTTGGGGTTCATGGAAAGAAGGGGAGGTCTCCGTTTCATGTTACAGTTTCCAATGTCGCCACTGAAATCAACGCGGTGGAACAGGTTTGCTTTGTTCTTTTTCACACACACACACACATATATAAATACACTTTTGGTTCCATTCATTCTAATTGCACACACATTATGAATTCTGATTTAATAGGTAGGTTAATTTGGTAACTCTCTTTAGGGTGTGTTTTTTTTTTTTTCTTTTTTGGGTGTTTTAGCATTAATTTTTGGTGAATGTTAGAAGATCACTGGATAAACAAAGCGTTACTTAAAAGAGAACATACATAGCAGAAGTAAATTTTTGACATTAGTGGAAAAATTGGTAATTTTCAGGACCAGAAGATTGCGGCTAAGGAAAGCCAGAGACCGGTTTATCCATTTGCTGCTATAGTAGGACAAGATGAGATGAAACTCTGCCTTCTCCTAAATGTGATTGATCCCAAGATTGGGGGTGTCATGATCATGGGGGATAGAGGAACTGGGAAATCCACCACAGTTAGGTCTTTGGTCGATTTGCTTCCTGAAATTATGGCTGTTGCCGGTGACCCATACAACTCAGATCCAGAGGATCCGGAATCTATGGGCGTGGAAGTTAGAGAAAGTGTCTTGAAAGGGGAAGAACTTTCTGTTGTCATGACTAAAATCAACATGGTTGATTTGCCCTTGGGTGCTACGGAGGATAGAGTCTGTGGGACAATTGACATTGAGAAAGCTCTAACTGAGGGTGTCAAGGCCTTTGAGCCCGGCCTTCTTGCAAAGGCCAACAGAGGAATTCTGTATGTGGATGAAGTCAACCTTTTGGACGATCACTTGGTGGATGTTTTACTCGATTCTGCTGCTTCTGGTTGGAACACGGTGGAGAGAGAGGGTATCTCGATTTCACATCCCGCTCGGTTTATCTTGATTGGCTCAGGCAATCCAGAAGAAGGGGAACTCAGGCCACAGCTGCTTGACCGGTTTGGAATGCACGCACAAGTGGGGACTGTTAGGGATGCAGAGCTCAGAGTGAAGATTGTGGAGGAGAGAGCTCGGTTCGACAGAAATCCAAAGGAATTCCGCAATTCTTACAAAGAGGAGCAAGAAAAGCTGCAAAACCAAATTGCTTCAGCTAGGAGTTCACTTTCGTCAGTTCAAATCGATCACGATCTCAAGGTGAAAATCTCAAAGGTTTGTGCAGAGTTGAATGTCGATGGATTGAGAGGAGATATTGTGACAAATAGGGCTGCAAAAGCTTTGGCTTCTTTGAAGGGAAGAGATAAAGTGACTGCAGAGGATATTGCTACCGTCATCCCTAACTGCTTAAGACATCGTCTTCGGAAGGATCCTTTGGAATCGATTGACTCGGGTTTACTTATCATTGAGAAATTTTATGAGGTTTTCAGCTGAGGGAGGTCAAGACCTTTCATCTAGTTTTGGTTGAACAGATTTATGTTTTTATTTATATTTAAATATCTTAGCAACTTGCATTTCGATTTAGATGAGTAAAATTCTAGAGTTTGACACATATGCAGAATCATTATGTAATCACTGAAACTTTTAACGGTGTATATGGCACTGAGAAGTATTCAGTTCAAGTAAGCAGGCAATATGCCAGTTCTTTTCTGTGATGCTTTGCGCCACCCGCTGTTTCTGAAACGCCCAAGGTTAGTGACTTGGATGAGTTCTGTTATCTTAAATTTCTACTTGTATGGGCGTCTGCCTCTGGTAAAATGTATGGTACTATAACTTGTTAGTATCCACTGATAATAAAAAGTAAGTTTATCTTTGGACTTACCTTAATTTGTTTGTGCGTCCCTCATTCAACCTAAAGCACTTGGCCAGTTCCAATCTGATGCTCAAGTAGGATTTTAGCTTGTACTACTCACTCATCTAATGTCTTGAATACTACAAATTTTGTATAAAAAGAAGGTACACTTGGAATCTATAAAATTGGACATTTTGGCATCTCAAGCAATGCAGGCTGTAAACAGATATTACATGTATGTATTTATAAAGAACTATATATCACGAGGTTTGGGTCTTAGACATGCTAGTTTGTTCATTGACATCTCTGCTCCAGAATTTCGGCCTCCGCTCAGGAAATTCCGGTGGCCGATCATAAACGACTGAGGCTACTTTGATCAAAATGCCAGCAGTTAAAGCCCATATGACGAACTTCTTGTTGTCTGCTTCATAGTCAAAGAAATGCAGCAAATACTTGTCTCCCTTCCATTCTCTCTCTTCTGCTCTTCTATTCTCGTCCTGTGTTCACCACTCATTGATAAGATGACTCAAAAGGAAATTCCCGAAATCATATTTCATTAAACTGAATAAATCTCCAGAACTGTAACTAGATGGAATTTGACCTTAAGGAACATTTCTAAGGGAGCGTCAAATATGGTCTCCACTTCTGCGGCATTCAGTGCCGGAACGAATGATTTCTTGTCTGAAAGTACTCCAATTACAGGAACTACTGTCATACCAATCTGCATAAAAAATGCAGTCCTAATGAGAACCCCCCCACCCAAAAAAAAAAGGGTAGGTTTGAAACTTAGCTAAGAAACTCTTTAAAAGTCTATTTAGATCTAAAAGCTTTAGGATGGCTTATCCAATGCATATCATATTATCTAACTGCTAAAGATTGGTAATTCTAGTTAAAGTCATTGCATCTATGGCTAGGATTTGAACCAACGGAACCAAATTACTGAGACCATTTTGCATTCATAGAAAGATTTCATCATTGCAAATCTTCAACTAATGGGAAAAATCACAGCTGAAAAAAATCAAAAGAACATGCATATAAGGACAAATCCAGCACAACACAACCAAGTTAACAGAGCTCACGTACCTTGGTGACAAAAGGTTCGAGAACAGTGACGACATTGACTTGAGAAGGGTCCAACCCGATCTCCTCCTTGGCCTCACGCAACGCCGTAACGACGTCGTCTCCGTCGCCTTCCTCCACTTTCCCACCAGGCAAGGAAACTTCCCCTGCAACCCAAAAACATGCAAAAATGTAAAAGATCAAACATTTGTACAAATATTATCACGGCAAAAAAGGACAATGGGAACGCACCTGAGTGAGAGGAGAGAGTTGAGGATCGCTTGGTGAGAATGACGCGCAGATCGCCGCCGTCGCCGCGGAAGAGACACGCCAGAACCGCGGCTCTTTTGGTAAAATCAGTTTCTGGTTGTGGCATGTGAGGACGGAAATTCTCGGCCAAGCTCTGCAGCCTCTTTGACCCAGCTCGTACTTCGAGGCCGCTCGTTCCCATTCCCGGATTTCGTGTTTGTAACAACTCTCTCTCTCTCTCTCTCTCTCTTAAAGCCTGAGCTCCTGTTTGGTTGGGAGTTAGGGGTTAGTCTTCAATAGTGGGCTGTGTATTTCTTTTAATAGAAGTTATATTCGAGCCTTGTTTTCATTCTTAATTGTAGATTTGAGTTTTCAATTTGAATTAAAATGTGATATTTTTTAAAAATTTTTAATTATAACAGAAAAAATTAAATGTGATATTTTAAAAAAAAATTAATTATAAAAATTTAAAATTAAAAACTCGAATAAGTGAGATGAACGAGTGCGTAATACATCTCAAATTTTGCCATATACCACGTAGCACAATATCAGCCGTTAGATTTAGAGTGCGTAATACATCTCAAATTTTTTAATGTACAGGCGGTTTACTGAACAATACTAGAAGACAGGTCAATATAGGATTCACATGTAAATTTTATATTTGTTGTGTTGTTTAGTATGGGTGACTGTCTCTTAAGTATTTTTCTAGTTTTTATAATTTTTTTTTAAATTTATTCAAAGGAAAAGATGTGGTTGTCAGTTGACCCTAATGGGTCAACGTCAAACTTGAGAGAGAGGAAAAGAACAAAGATGGGCTTGATGCAAATTTGACTTACAGAAGACAGAAGAAGAAGCAGAGAGAGAGAGAGAGAGAGAGAGAGATGGCCTTGATGCAAATTTGACTTGGAGATGGAGGTACAACGAACGGGACATGAGCACCTAAATTGAGGAGGCACATTTGTTGATTTTCATCTCATACAAAGATTTGAGAAATACCAATTCAATTTTGTGTTACAAAAAGGGTGAATTATCAAGATACAAAAACCAATTACATTTTCGCCTTGAATTTAAGGTAGTAGACTACAGTATCGTTATGGACAAATATAGAAACATTGAAAGCAGCATTTTACTTGGAAAAGTCAGTGGCTGTTGGTATAGGATTCAACAATTACATGATGAGCTGACTTTGAATGAACGAATTTATAGCATTGAAGCTTGTCTAGCAGCGCCTCTGCTCCAGATTTTCGGTCTTCGCTCGGGGAGCGCAGGCGGCCTCTGGTACACAAGCGAGGCGGCCGTGATCAAAATTACGGCAGTCAAAGCCCATATGACATAATTCTTGTTATCTGCTTTGAAGTCGGAGAAATTGCATATGAACTCTTCTCCCTGCCATTCTGCCTCCTCCGCTCTTCGGTTCTCGTCCTGTACCGACAGCGACAATGGATGATATCAAAGAAAATTCTTTGAAGAGAAAGTCGGGTGAATTAGTAGAGAGCCTAATTAAAGTAATTAGAAAGGAAGAAATGAAACAAGGTAAAAACCTCGAGAAACATTTCTAAGGGAGCGTCAAATATTGCTTCCACTTCTGCTGTATTTGGAGCTGGATTGAACGCCTTCTTGTTAGACAGTAAGCCTATTACAGGAACCCCTAGCACATCACTCTGCACAAAGAAATTAGCTTTTCTAATGAGAAAACCCAAAAAAAAAAAAAAAAGCAGTTCATATACCATGCCTTGTAATATCTTTTTCTTTTTTTTGTTCGTTTCCTTTCTGAACCCAGTTTCACTCACACCACCACCGCACAGTTTAATAACTAAGTTGGGAACTAAAATGAAGTTCTAAAGTATCGATTATCGAACCTTAAACCTATGTCAAGAGCACCCAAAAAAAAAAAGGCATTATAACCACCACCAACCCATTGGTGGTCATAAAATCTTCCTTTAATCCAGGATATAAAATCCCCTCAACAAACCTTTCAAAAGTGCTTTCTCTTGCAGAGGTTATAAATATATACTTTTGTGCCTTTGTTCTTATTATTTGGTCATTAATATATCGTTCTTACTCTTCACGAGTATTATTGTTGGAATGGTTCGTTGCATTTTGCTTTTCTTGCTTATTTACTCACAGCTGAAAGATTTATCTGCCTCGGATATATAGCAGTTCACAAAGCTGACCTTAGCTTACAGTACAAACACAGTGACACATATATATATACATACATACATACATACATATATATATATATAACATATATATATATATACACACACACACACACACACACACACACACACATATATATATATCTAACCTTGGCTATGAAGGTTCAAGAACAGTTACAACAGTGACTTGAGAAGGATCCAAGCCAATCTCCTCCTTAGCTTCACGCAAGGCCGTGTCAACATAATCTGCATCACCTTCCTCCACTTTCCCACCCGGCAGCGAAACCTCGCCTGCAATAAAAGGAAAAACAAAATCAATGAAAGAATAATATGATATTAGAAAACAAGTCTTTTTTTTCCTTCTTCTTATTAGCTTAAGCTCCAGCGCCAAAACTTTTGTGGTACCCGAATAAGAGGAGATTGTCGAGGCTTGCTTGGTGAGAATTACGCGCAGATCGCCATGTTCGCCTTCGAAAAGACATACCAGAACCGCAGCCCGCCTGGAAAAGCCAGCAGCATCTTGCGGTGGTGGTGGTTTGTGAGGGCGGAAATGCCGAGCCAACGTCTCCAGCCGTCGTGATCCTGCCCCTGATAACCCAACCTCGTTCGAACCCATTCCAAAATCTTTGATTTGTTTCCTTTTTAATGCGTGACGGGCAAAGAACAATCAAAGCTTTTTTTGTGATTTATTTGGAAGTCAGTCTCAACTCAAGTGGTGGGCTGGCCCCAGAAAAGGGCGGTAATGGGGTATCTAGTTGGTCGATGTCATAACTCGCGTTGGTTTGGGAAACGCAAGATTCACAATCAAATTTTGACTAACTAGATTTTTCCACTAACTACATGATATTTTTGAGAGCAAATTATGGAAACTACAATCCCGTTCATTACACCGATTTGAGTTTAAAATTTAAGTTTTGTTACAATAAAAAACTATCAGAAACAGTCATATCTAACTTTTTTACTACAGTAAAAAATTCTCACATAAAATCATATCTCAATTTAAATTAAAAACTTAAATCAATAAAGTAAATGAACTCTACTTTGTGATTGTTGGATCTCATCACAATTGTTAAGGACAAGACGACTTAATAATTGTAGTAGTAGTACTAATAATAATAATAATAATAAAGAGAATGGATATATAAAATTTACAATGATTTACTCGTAACATACGAGTTACGTGTTGTAAAGTTTTTACTCCATGAAAATTGAGATAGACGATCTAATATGCATGTAGAAGAAAAATAAAACAATGTAATTAGGACTCCACAATTTGAATTGGCTGCAAGTTGGCGTTGCATGTCGGCTCTTGGGATAAGATTGTAATAAGATTACGTGACGCCACTTGTTCTCCGTCCCCTTGCTCAGATAATATATGGAATACGAGTCAAAGCTGCGACCCTGAAAGTCCATTATTATGGCATATTGATCGCCTAATAAAAAAAATATTATTATATCGATAGTGTTAAGCGTCATGTACTAATAAAAAATACGTCTCGTAGATTAGAGTCTATTTTATTAGTGGTGGTGCTTAACATCAGTGGTAGTAGTGTTTCAAGCATTTTTTTATTAAAATAAATAAAAGCCCGTTTGGCATTGTTTTTAAAGTTGCTTTTAGATTTTTTAAGAAGCTACGACATGTCAGGGTGTTTGGTAAACCTGCTTTTGTCCAACAACTTCTAAAAATTGTTGCCCCACAGTAGAATTTGAGAAGTAGGTCAGGGTTTGCTTTCCACAGCAACTTCTGCTGTCATTGTCTAAATTTACTAAAATGACCACAATACTAAAACTTAAATCCCAATCAACTCATTTTATTTCATCCAAAGAAAATTAAAGAATATATTTTATTTTAAATGTTTATTTAAAAATTAAAAATATTTATTAATATCTTATGCTAAATTTTAATAATATATTTTTATTATAATGTTCCAAGTTAGAAAAATAATTTACTGTTATTTAATTTCTTTATAGTATATAATTTATCTCCTTAAATAAAACTAATTTATTTATAGAGATATTTTAATTAATAAAATGAAAATTATATTTTTTTAGTATTTTGGTATATAAATATTATGGATATTGACTATAAAAATAGAAATAAAACTAATTATAAGTATATGTGTTAAAGTATGTCTATTTTAGTCATTATATATGCAATTTTATATATAGCTTACCAAACACCTAAATTTCTATTTCTGGTATTCACAGTAACTTTGGAAAAAAATTTACTAAACACCTACATACTTCTGATCACAATAACTTATGACTAATAGCACAGCAATAGCAGAAATTTTTAATAGCACAACAATGTCAAATTGGCCCCAAAAAATAGATAATAACAATATCGTACATACATTGGTCAAGATCAAGAATTTAACTTGCATGCAAAAGAACTGTTTACAGCATAATTAGTTGCGTTGCTACCAAAAACCCGAAGGATTAGAATGCAACAAAAGCAATCACAAGTTAGTAACAAGCAAACACATGACAGTATTTTTAATTTACATTTAATGTTTTTATATATAATTAGCCAGATGGCAACCAAAAAACCCTAAAATAAAAAGGTACTCACGAAATATTTCTCACGGAAATAGATGCAAGTGCAAAGTGAGACTTTTCGATAAATTAAAGGGCTTTAGTAGTAGTACGTTTGAAAACTGCAAGGGCCAAATGAGATGCGTCTTAAAGTTAAAGAAACTATGGCTTTTAACTCTCTAGATCCTCTGGAAGCCTTATGACGGCTCACTAGCCGCCTGGCCCGCTCCCATAAGGAGCATTCGAATTACAAAAAGTACATCTCAAAGAAGTCTAACAACATAGATTTAAGTTCCGTTCATTTTACCAATTTGAGTTTAAAATTTGAGTTTTGTTACAGTAAAAAACTCTTTGAAACAATTACATCTAATTTTTTTGTTACAGTAAAAAGTTTTCACATAAAATCACATATCAACTCGAGTTAAAAACTCGAATCAGCGAACTAAACGGGCCCTTAATTGTTGATCTAAACACCACCGCTCATTTTTGATGTTCGGTCTCGTACATAAGGTCTTTGAATTCGAATAAGTCCCGCCTCACTGGCGTGCTATATAAACAATCCACTTCATGAAGGATCTGTATCCCATGTAGGGATAAGCTACTTTCTCGAGATCATCTGGGGTACTCTTGCTCTTATTTTATTGCTGAAAATAGAACAACCGATGACCTTAAACAAGTTTGGCTTTGGGCTTTGGAAAGATGCCTCCTACCTAACACACAACATTGTCACTATACGCGAATTAACCCCTACTAAATATTCACGGTATCTGCAGCAAATGGACGGCCATATAGTTTGGCTGAAGCTATGGATGTCTCTTCAATACTAGGCCGCTCTAAACGTAGCATATTAATCAATCAACATTCAAGATTTGGTAAATTTTTTACACGTAGAATTGCTCAATGTCAACAAGCTTGTATTTTTATTTATTTATTTTTTTTTTGGGATGGGAACATATTGAATTCATAATTATCACCATATATCGGGAGATTCGGGACATCACCTTAGTTCCTCTGTATGATGAAAAAAAAAAAAAAAAATAATAAAATAAAAAGGTTCCTGAGCTTGATGCCTGGGCCTGGCTGCCTCTGAACTGAAACATTTGATGCTATTTCACCGTATGAGCACGATAACAACTAAAAAAATGAAATGGCTAGACTTTGTTACTATTACTATTACTATTACTATTATTATTTTCGCTCCATCTAAACCTTTATCTCCCTAGGCAAAAACACTATTTCAATCAGGTCAAACATATTATTACAATCCAGTGAAATTTCCCTTGAATTTAAGGCAACATAGTATCCTTGTTTACAGTTCCAGGAACCTTAAAAACAGGATTCTGCTCCAGAAAAGGCGGCTGCCGTTGGTATACGACCGATGCAGCCCTTATCAAGATCCCAGCAGTTAAACCCCATATCAAGAACTTCTTGTTCTCAGTTTCATAGTCAAAGAAGTGAATGATATACTTGTTCCCCATCCACTCTCTCTCTTCCGCCCTTCGGTTTTCATCCTGCGATATAAATGTTATGCATGTTCCTTAAAAAATCCATTTTTTTGCTAAGAAAATCCATGTTCCTTAAAAAATCCATTTAATCGAAGTATTTCGACAAATTGAATGCAGAGTGAAAGGGGATTAAAAGAGAGAAACCTTGATAAACATCTCCAAAGGAGCATCAAATACAGCATCCACTTCAGCGGGATTCGGAGCAGGCTTGAAGGCTTCCTTGTCTGTAAGTATGCCAATAACTGGAACAACTCTGAGAAAGTGCTGCAAGGAGAACCAACGACTTTTTTCATTTACACTAAACTGATCATTAATCACTTTTAATTCAACATTCGAACTCGTGCTCGATAAATCTCGTGGGCACGCTATAATTATCAAGGGAAGCAGCGAACATGAAAGATGTAAAAGGCTCATTTAGTAACGTAAAGATACAGGTTAACGTCACCAAACCCCATACTCAACAGAGCTGGCCAATATCCCTAGCCAAATATGACAAATAAACTTAAGCGGGTAATGCATATGCCTAAGACTAGCCATACTTGTTTTTTCATATTGATTCCCCGTACCCTTTTTTGCCGTATTTTTGATAAAATGTAGGATCAATGGCTCCCACACTTTACTAACAAAATGAAACCAGCAGAATTCATACCCTGGTGGACACGCACACACACTCCCACAACCAACCACTAGTCTCAAGTGGCTCCCCTGTATTCCGTATGAATACCATATTTGAGGATCTAAACGTTACTTTTCTACCTTCAGAATTAGCTTGTATTGAGTCATAACGTCTCACCTGTAAAGGCTAAAAATTTTATGCCTTTTGGGTTTCATTTCATCGTGAACCATTAAGACAAATTATCACTACCAAATTACAGATCAAAACCAGCACAAGATTATGACCACTCCCATGATTTTGTAACAATGGAATTTCCACTCAATGCCACAATTAGCTTATCTTTTCAGAGAAATATGGAAATAAGAATTACAGCTCTGCATATTATGCAATAAACTAACTGCATTTGAAACCACTGAATGTAACAATTGAATTGATGATTACAAAGTAGAAATATTAAATCCAATTAAATGATTGGAGAACTAAGTGCTTATAAGTCATTCATCTCATCATCTAATTGCTTTATTTCTTCTACAAACTTAATTCTCATCATCACTTGATGCAAAATTACACAATGAAACTCTCAAAACTGATATAAGAGAAGAGCCCAATATCCCTAGAACTTCAGTAAGCTTTCAAACAATCAACATAAAACGCAAAACACTAAAAAGTCTCAAAAGCAAAACGAGAACAGAACAAATTTGCGACAAAAATGGCAATGAAAACTCAAAAAATGGTACCTTGGACAAAAATGGCTCAAGAACAGTTACGACATTAACAAGAGAAGGATCCAAACCAATTTCCTCCTTCGCCTCTCTGGTAGCAGTGTCCCCATCATCCTTATCCCCTTCCTCTGCTTTCCCACCCGGTAACGCGATTTCACCTGCAACGCAAACATTCATTTTTGCGCCTCAGTTTCTCGGCAACAAAACAGCTCTAAGAAATCACCTCAAACCAAAACCCCAGCACGGCGAATCCGACCCGAGTGAGTGGACAGACTCGACGACCGTTTCGTGAGGATCACGCGCAGATCACCGGCGTCGCTTTCGAAGAGGCAGATCAAGACGGCGGCCCTCTTCGGTCTGAACCTCTGTGGGTCCCGCGTTATCGGAGCCGCCGATTCGGCGAAGCCGAGCTGGGAGACGACTTTGCCGGCGGCTTCTTCGTCGTCCTCGGCGTCGGCGTCGAGAGGCGTCGGCGTGGGCTTGTAGAGGCGGAGCTGCTGGGCCAAGGCGACGAGGCTCTGAGGGCCGCGGAGGGAGGTTTGGGCTGAGTCCATTAGCTTAGCGGGTAGCAATGGGAATATTGATGATGATGATGCTGCTCTCAGAAATGAAGTCATTGGTTGGGGTACGACTTCTGATTTTTATTAAAAGAAAAAGAAAAATACAGCAGAAAAGATAAAACAACAAAGTCAAATCTTAAACCTATTTCTTGCGAATCCAGAAATATTTAAACCCAAAATATCTAAAACTTAGAGCATTCAGCCACCAAGTGTAACATGCAGAAACTATACCGAAATTAGCCAAACAATCAGTAACTGTATTCGCAAGAATGAGATATAACAAAATTTACAGAACTAGCATTCTCAAGAGCGTCAATCCAAACATTCGAAGAGACTACAGAACTTTAGTACAACCGCACCAAAAAAGATGAACAGCACAAGCAGAATTACTTTCTATTCAAAGGTGTTTCCACCCCTTAGCCATAATAATAGTCCACATCTCAGTTTTAATAGCTAAACACTCACCATAGAAGATGTTGAAAGCTCCTGAGAAAAAACCTCTACAATTACGAAAAATTGCACCTCCCCTAGCAAGACCATTCCTCTTAGCCGCCCCATCTATATTAGCTTTAATCCAAATCGGCGGAGGAGCTCTCCAAACAACAGAAAAGATCTTAGGAGCCTTTCTAGACACAACTGCAAGGTCAAAGCTTTGAGAGCAAGTAACTCTTGTTGAGAATTTCTCATCACACCAATCTTGAGTTTACCAACCTTAACAACCGGCTGCTTCATTGCTAGCCAAAGGAAACAAAAACTAGGGGCTACACTACCCTGTTTCGCATAGACCAAATAGCCCAGAAGCAAGTAATAACTGCAGAAATCCATAAACACAAAACTTGAGAACCAAAATCTGCTTCTAAACCACAAGATATCATGTCCTCAATGTTACCATCAAGAAATACCCATCTACCAAAAATTTCTGAGATCTCATTCTATATTGCAGCCACAAAATCACACTCAAGGAACAAATGACAAATATATTCCTCATGTTTATAGCAAAAATGACAAACTGAAGCAAAAATTATACCTCTCTTTTGCAAAACAGTCTCTACTGGAAGAGCTCCATGAAGAGCTTTCTAAAAATCAAGCGACCTTCGAGGAGCAATATAGCTGTACCAAATCTTTCTGCCCCAAGGCTCAATAGAAACCGTCCTAAGTCACCACCCAATGACTTAGTCCAAACTAAACGATCCTCACCAGCAACCAAAACTCGACTAATGGCTTGAACAACATGAGAAAAAAGACCAGCAAAAGCAGAAGGAATATTCCAAGAAGAACCATCCTAAAAATCCAAGACAACAAGTGAAAGACGAGCTCTAACACGATCCAGGATGTCCAACCAATCTACTAAAAGGAATCCAAGTCAATTATCTTTCCAAAAATTCACTTTAGAATTTTTACCAACCAACCACCTGGACTCCATAGAAAGCTTTCCCACTAACTTCTTGATCGCAGCCAAATAGAAGAGACAATCTGAGACTTAAGAGAACCGTCAACTCTTAAAAAACAACTTCTCAAAAAAGGAAAAACCCCATCAAGCTTTAAAATAAAATTCATAGCAAATTTACTCAAACAAGCCTTGTTAAGAGTGAAAATATTCCGTATGTGATCACCCTCCTTTGAGGCCGTCATTGTAATTAACTTTTTAACTTGTATTTACTGAAATTTTTTAAAATTTTCGGAACATTTTTTTTTTCAAAAGGTCTTATAATAAACATAAGATACGAAATTGCTTTCTTAATTAAAATATTCAAACATTAACATATTTGTTTCAGAATCATAATTAACAAAACTATTTATAACATAAAGCTGATTGCGGAATTATTTGCGAGCGGTATCCATATCCTGAGCCCCACATCGTTCGTCCACTCGCCGGCAGTCCATCAGGCATTTTATGCCGGTTGCTTACCTACAGTATAAACATTCTATAATGAGCTTTCGCTCAGCAAGTAGGAACTACCTCTCACAAAATAACAGTAAGTTCACATGAATAAATATGCATGAGTCAATTATGCTTAATTATGATGTCTTATCAGAATATTATTATCTTATCTTATTTTATCTTATCTTATCTTTTGGGCCCGAGTGCTCGTACCACTTGCGCGCAATCATTGGAACGTGAGGGTTTGCAAGGTCCCCCATGACACCGTGATTATAACTTGAATGCCTCCCTTGAGTCGGAGGACATTATTATTTTTTTTTCTTTTCTCCCTTGCGGAGCTTGAGTTACCTCCCTTGTAGAGGCTGGGACGGCACTTAACCGAGATTACTCTTATAAGTTCATCTTGACTTATTAAGGTGTATGCAATATGACCTAGCATAGCATACTCTATCATGTACTCGAACACATATAATTCGGATGTACTGCTAAGTGTATGTAGTATAACATAGCATAGCATTCATAACATTAAATGTACTCAAACATATATAGTTCATGTGTACTGTTTACATTAAAATCTATTTATACTGTAGGCGAGATTTCTACTTACTTAATTTTCAAAGCTGGAATCTCCCTTTCGCCTATCAGCCTAGTCTCTTGCTTTCTTCTGAAAATGAACACCCATTAAGAGTGTGAGATTAACTGTTATTTGCTATTCTATTTTAGCAACTTATGAAGGAAAATCTAACCCTTTCCATAAGGCATATATTCCTTTCCTTTACTAAAGGATAATAAAGATTAATTTATTAAACCCTCAAAATCTTATTTTCCTTAATTTTCCTTGGTATGATATTAAGGCCCAATTCGGCCTAGGACTTATACATGGCATTCTAACTTTTACGCCGTGAAAATTTATAATCCAACGGAGTCTCTTAAACTAATGTGGATGTTGGACTCACATTAAATCTTTGAAATTCTACGGACCTATCGTATTGGGCTCGTAGGTGCCCGTTGGGATAATTCACTCGGTAAACCACTATGTTCTTTAAAGAAAGCATTTTTCCTTGAAAACTTTCTTTATGAATACTTTCATTAAAATGAGGTTTAATGTCATTGTATTTTACTGAAATTCTATCTCGGGTTCTTTTATAACTTTTTGTTGAAACCGACACTGTTTTAGTTTTGTCTTGTTAAAAACTGTGCAATTTTTGAAATCTACGTTTTACTATATCTTAGAGTCGGATTTCAAAATTTTGCTCTTCGCAAACATTCCTCGTCTCGTTGAGATCTAAAATTGTTGTTTTTAGTGAAAGTTGAAATTTGGCCTCTAAAGGCCTCGTTTGGCTGAAAACCGTAGCTGCTGTTTTTCTTAAAACTGTTTTAGTAAAAAACTGTGCTGTTTCAAAAATCTGTGTTTTAGTATCTCTTAGGGTCGGATTTTAAAAATCTTTTCTTCATGAAATTTCTTCATCTCGTCGAAATCTAAAATTGTCACTTTTGTGAAAAATCGAGATTCAACCTCTAAGGGTCCCGTTTGACTGAACTAGTGGCTGCCAGTTTTTTTTTTCGAAATTATGTTGGACAGCTTGTCCGTTTTTACAAAATGGCTTCAAACTTGATTTTAGAGTTAAAATTAGATTTTGTCATAGTAACCGAAAATGTTCAAAATATCCAGGGCTATAAGTTTAAATTTTGAAACATTGAAAAATCTCTCTCTAAGGTCCTCATTTTCGCAGTCAAAGTCACCGGAAAATTTGTCCTCTAATCCGAAAATAAGCAACTTAGATCAAGCATAAACATATCACATCAAACTAACCTCAAAACTCACAAAACTAACATAAAACTCACACACCCTTATTACACTTATCTCCTCATGAACCACAAATTACATCATGAATTCGTACTTAAGGTTGGCTAGAAAAATAATGGAGAAGAGTTTAAGAATCTTACCCTTAAAGAGTTCTCTCTCTTGAAAGCCTTTGATCTCCTCTAAGATTTGTTAACGGCTTGAAACTAAAAGAGGATAAGGAAATTTGAGAAGAATATTTCTACATTTCTAACTTTACTAAAACATGAAAAAGAGAGAATTTTAGAGTTTTTACCCTTGGAGAAATGCTTGTTTAGACTCCTCCTTTTCTCCTTTAACTTAAACTAGGATTTGTGGTGAGATTTATGAAAACTTTTGAGTGTGTGTGAGGTAAGGGATGGCTTGGTTTTGGTGAGGGAAAAGTTTAGAAAACTTGAAGGTTGGAGCTTTGGAGAACCGGTTTTGGATATGGAGAAGGAAGTAAGATAAAGTAAAAGTTAGGCTTATATCACATTGGTTCTATTTATAGACCACTAGGTTATTACTTCCTTTAGTCTACTTAACTAAACAAAATTTTGCTTAAAACACCTTAAAGATGGCCGGCCAATGTGAGTGAAAGAGTGAAGGAAGAAAATGTCATGATTTCCTTTCAATCACTACTATCACATCAATCCTCTAGCACACTCAACATTTAACCAAAATTTTTAACTATAAATCCCTAAGTATGGCCGGCCAAGTGAAGAGAAAAAGGAGAAAAAAAACTAATCATGAGTCCTATTCACCTCTCTCATCACATCACATCAAATCACACACACTAACCTACCCCTTGTACTTTTGTCCATTCCCTTAAGTTATGTGACGACCCTCTTATGAGGCCGCCACCATAGCTTACTTTTTAACTCGTACTTACTGGGATTTCTTAAAATTTGCGGAACATTTTTTTTTTAAATATAAGAAGGAATAATCTCATAATTCGTAACGATAATTTCAAAAGAATGAATCACTAAATTTCTTAAAGCTTTTCTTAATTTCAACTAAGATAAAACCTACTAAAAATATCTAACAGAGCAGCATTTGAACTCTTATTTCAAATGCTCTTTAAAAGCCTTTCTAAAACTAGCCAATACATTCGGGCCATCTAATTTGACCTTAAAACGAATTTTGTGAGAAATCTTAAATTCAAGTACTTCTTAAAGTCCTTTCAAAATCAATCATTTAAACCGTCATATTTAAAGTTCGTTTATTTGTTGCATGCACTGTTGCAACATTCTAAAACTTAAAAACTCAAGACTAGGGTTGTTAGCTACAACCTCGGTTCTCTTCACATACATATGTACATATACTTTTAAAACATACGTGCTTGAAACATTTGAATCATATATACATATACATGATTTTACTTTAACTTACTGCGGAAGATTTAACTGTGAGCGGTATCCATTCCCATCTCCACCATTCGCCCGTCGCTTGCCACTGCCCTTCAAGAATTACTGATAGGTTTCTTACCTACAGCATGAACATATCTGATTGAGCTTTCGCTCAGCAAGTAGGAACTATCTCTCACAAAATAACTGTAAGTTCACATGCATAAATATGCATGAGCTGATTATACTTAATTATGATGTCTTATCATAGTCTTATTATCTTATCTTATCTTTCTTACTGATGGGCCCGAGTGCTCGAGTACCACTTGCGCTCAATCATCGGAACGTGAGGGTTTGCAAGGTCCCCCACGACACCGTGATTATAACTTGAATGCCTCCCTTGAGTCGGAGGACATTATTGTTATTTTCTTTTTCTCCCTTGTGGAGCTTGAGTTACCTCCCTTGTGGAGGCTGGGACGGCACTCCACTGATATTATTCTTATAAGTTTCTCTTGACTTATTAAGGTGTATGCAATATGACATAGCATAGCATACTATAACATGGAATGTACTCAAACACATATGCTTCATGTGCACTGCTTAAGTGTATGCAGTATGATCTAGCATAGTATACATAACATTAAATTAACTCAAACACATATAATTCATGTGCGTTGCTTATGTGTATGTAGCATGACATAGCATC